TATATTTAAAGTCAATTTTAAAAATTAAAATAATAAAATTTTAATTAAGTTAAATATATTTTTAATTCTTATAAAATATAAAAAATTCATTTTTAGACTTTATAATATTTTTTTTTCTTAATTAATATAAAATTTTCATAATTTGTCTATTATTACTAAATCTCAAACTTTTAATTAGATGAATAGAACTCAAAGTCATTCTATACAAAAATTCATTTTGTTTCTGTAAAATTATTTTCACTTTTAATTTTTATAAAAAATGTATTTTAAATTTAAACATAATTTTTTTTAAATTATCAAACATCTTCACTTTTTCCTCTCTTATTCTTCTCGCCATCTACATCTCCACGTCACTCCCTTCATCCACCGTCACCATCAAACATTAAACCCAAATTCATAATTTTTAAAGTTTTTAAATTAAAATAATTCTTTTTTTAAATTATATATAAAGTGATAAATACTTGCCTCATGTTATTTTTTTTATTATACTTAACCGTTGAAATATATTTATATATTAGTTAAATTATTTCTGTTAAATTTTATCAAAATTAAACATATAAAATTGTATATGAATAAATAATATACATTATATTAATTTTTATATACATAAACATATATAAAAGAGTTATCAAATTACATTGGTGTACGTTATTATCATTCTTATGGTGTTTAATATTTTTTGTTAAATAATTTAATTATAAAACCAACTATTAACCGTTTCAATTACATAATATATATATATATATATATATATATATATATATATATAGTAATGAAGGAAAATATCAAAAAATGTTTAAAAAGTAAAAATTTATATTTTTAAAAGAAAAAACATAAAATAAGAAAATGTTAATTTTTAAGGATTAAGTTTAAATAACTAAATACATTAAAATTTTATTGATAGAAAAAATATTTATTATACTTCTATTAATGTCAAATTGTATTCTATCTGGAAAAAAAATAAACTTGTTTAGAGAAAAAATGAAATACTAAATATAAAGTTATAAAAATTAAAAATTTATATCTTCAAATAAACTTATATATAATGAAGTTTTTCATGTTTCAAAGATAGTAAACTTCTTACCTTTTAAAAGAATTTATTTAAAATATTTTATAATAATTGATGTATAGTGAAAATGTTGATATTTATATTTTATTCTTCATTTAAAAATATAATAAAAAAATAAAAAATAAATGTTAACTTCAACCCTTCGTGCTAAATTTAAAAAACTAATTATAATAAATGTTAACTTCAACCTTTATTATATTTTTATAATTTTAATATAATGAATGAAGTCTGTTTCAATAAAAAAAAATTTATGTTTAAATACTTAAACTCAATTCTAAAAATTGAGATTAAAATTTTTTTATAAAATAAAGAATTTTTTTTTTAGTTAAGAAACAAGTATGTTTTGAATATTATATTAAATTATAATATAAGTTAGGGTTTTTTTAATGGGAAAGAATAAAATATTATCAGAATGTAGTGTTTTAAAAAAAATTATAAAAATATAGAAACTTTTCAAAAATTATTAGTGACGAAAGGAGATAATCAATTAATTAAATATCTAATATAATAATCAAGAGAAAAGAAACAATACTCAATCATTAAATCTAAAAGTTGATATTATTATCATTTGAGGGGTTAAAACTTAAAATTTGAATGAAATTTCAATCAAAATTAAGTGATCACATGAAAAACTTTATGCATTTAATTAACACAAAATTAATTAAAATTTAGAAATCTCTAGAATTAATCAAAATGTATTAATTTTTTGCACTACTTAATTAACTCTAATTTCCTAAAATTGACTCACACACTTCAAACGAATAATGATGAATGTAACTGTAATAGATAAAAATAAGGGGCTGATTACATAAATAAATAAAAGTATTTTAGGAGTCAAAATTAGAAAATTGTTATAATTGTTATGATGTGTAAGCATATAAGAATGGGAAACTATATAAGACCTTTGTGTATGACATTGAACATTATGAATAGAATTGTGATATCGTGTTCCTCTTCAACTTGCATTGTTAGGAGTGAGTGAGTGCTGTTAAGGATAATTGATATTGTCTTTAACAATTTGGTATCAGCTAAGCCAGAGATGATGGTGACAACAAAAGAACTCGAGACACGCATGGACACAATAGAGAAGATAATGGTGGATTCACAAGATTTAACACAAAAGATCTTGGAAGCATTGCGAAAATTGATCAAGGCATTAGTTTCCTCAATAACAGCCTTGAATGCTAGTCAAAAAATCACACCAAAAAATGAATCACACAACGAGACGCTAGAAACTTCCTCCTCGGTTCTTGATAGAACCCATATTGAGGGTAACACTAATTTCATCCCTCACAATGACGAAAAAATTTAGATACAATTTTTTCCTCAATTGAGACAAATTTAAGGAACATAAACACTTGTTGTTTATTTTTTTATCTGTAGAGTAAACGAAATAAATTAATATATTTTTTCTCTATTTTGTGCAAAACTAATAATGCATCTCAAGTTATAGAATGTTTCGTCTTTTTTAGATGAAATAGTTAAATAAAAAAATTAATTTCATCTAATTTAAATACAAAACAACTATTTACATAATAAAAATTTATCTCAACAAAAAATAATTTTTTTACTTTATTTTAATAATTAATTTTTAAAAAAATATTATTTAAATCATTAAGCCAGTGAAGATGACGGGCTTTTTTTTATTATTATTTTATCAAAATGGGGTTAATTTGAAGACCTAATTATTGTCATTTTATGACAGTTTGCAGGACACGAGTTTTCGTAAGGAATTGATGAGTTTGTCGTATTCATTTTTGGCTTTGTGGAAAGAAACAGAGAGAAGGGGATCGTGCATTGGGTACACTGCTCACCGCCCCCATGCTTGGAGTTGAAGTAAGGAAGCTTTGCAATTCGGTAAGACATAGTCATCGCTGTCAGGGGTGCAGTTCCTACAGCTGTCTGTCTGGATACCGAGTCGTTAAAAAGTAAGTCATCGTCATCACATCGAATCTGTCGTGACCACTTTTGCTTTTTGGACTTGGCAGTGCATGGAATATTCGGTCAAAATAAAATAAAATAACTAATTTTAAAATTAATATTATATCTCAATTATTATTTTTTTAGATTCTTTGTTCCATCATATTCAGTATCGTATTTATAAGAGTAATATAAATATTTTAAACAAATATCCTCTCGTCCCTTTTTTTAAAAATTTTTTTAAAGTTTCGCATTTATAAAGATAATATTTAATTTGTTATTATTTTTTTAAGATTACTTTAAAGGTCCACTTTCTTTTAGAAAAAAAAAATAAAAAATGCAAAATATAATATACTTAATTAAAATCGCAATATTCAGAGAGAGAGTTGGATAAATATTTGAAAAAGTTTAGTTTATAATAGGTATTTATAATTGAGTACGCTTATAGATTTAAGAATTTTTAATATCTTAACCAACCAAAAAAAAATTGCCTGCTTATTTGAAAATCTCTTTAATTCTCCAAAGCTCTTGTTCTATTGTGCCATCAAAATCTGAAACCCTATATTATTATTTTATATTATAAAAATAAGAGTAATTGAATATTAGCACTCACCAATCAACTTTGTAACACGATTTTAGACCAAATCCTTTCTTATCTTTTCTCTCTCTCCTAAATATTGCATGACAAGTCATAATTGCATAACAACTAAAATATTACTTCAATCGCACCATTGCACATCTATACACCAATCATGAGAATAGTCTCTTAGATAAAATACCTAATTATCCATGGCTCATGACCACAAATACAACACCACTAAACATTGCACCCTTGAAAGCTACCACAAAAAACGATGTTATTCAAAACATATATTAAAAAAAAAAAAAAACTTGACTTAATGTCAAAATTGAGAATGCTCTTCTGGAGTAGTTTATCCACCTGCGTGGAAATTCTTAAAACTCTACCCAATGCATTCAAATCTATTTAAAACAACGATAATATTTGAATTCTTCCTGATTTGCATGCAAATAGAAGCTACCGAAATCAATTTATTTATTTTTTATCACAAGCGACGAAGAGTTATTCGGCCCACTCCACAGTGTCATTTAAAAATGTGTAGTATGATATGGACAAAATTTTCAAAAAGAAAATTTATATTTAATATCTATTTAAGAAATAGTTTCTATTTTTGTATTTTTTAGCCAACAAGTCAAATATTTTTTATTATATTGCAAAAAATATTTTAGGGTCATGTCTATGCTACTTTTAAAAAATTACTTAAAATTTTGAAAATAAAACTTATATACAACACTTTAAATACTTTGATTTTTTAATTAAAATTAAAATTTTATCTATAAAATTAATATTAATTTTTAATATTGGCTTATTATATTATAATCAGTTAATATTCTTCTATCGTAACATTTTAAATAAATAAATTACTTAAATCTCAAATATTATCTTCTTATCATAATTTATATATTTATGTTAAGCTATAATAACATTATTTAAAGTTATTAAATTTTGTACTTTATCATAAATGATTTTAATTTTTAGTTTATGGTGAATTTTATTTTGATTTCTATAAAAGTTTTTTTTCAATTTAATCTTTTATGAAATACAGTTTTTTATCCTAAGTAAAATAAAAAATGTGTTATATATAAGGATCATAATGAAAAAATTTACTACGTATATAATTAAAATAAAAAACATTTAAAAGTGAGATAACAATTTTATAATGAAAACGTTAGTTCAAATGATTGGATATTTCATTAAAAGTTTAATTAAGAAAATATCATTATAATTTCCAAAAATTTATATGGATAATATGAAACATTTTATAAATAAAAAGCGTTAGTTCAAATGATTGGATATTTCATGGTGTTACGTAATTGTTTTAGCACTTATGTTTTCAAAATATTTTTCAGAATTTTCATTTGAAATTTTTTATTTTGAATTTTTAAAAGTAACATTTACATATTTATATACACCGTACTATAAGCAAAGAACACATTAGTGTCAGCAAGGAGAACACAAGTTGTCAAGTGCAGAAGTCAAAGGAATGGAGAAGGAAAGGAAAAGCTATGTAGCTCATTGTCTGGTCTTACCATATCCTGCACAAGGACATATCAATCCTATGCTTCAATTCTCCAAGCGTTTGGCGCAGAGAGGAGTGAAGGTTACACTGGTAACTGTTGTGTCCAATTGGAAAACCATCTGTGACAAAAACTTCACTTCCATTGAAGTTGAAAGCATCTCAGATGGATATGATGATGGAGGGCTCGCAGTAGCAGGGAGCTTAGAGGTATACATGGAAACCTTTTGGAGAGTTGGACCACAAACTCTTGCTGAGCTTGTTCAGAAGCTTGCAAGCTCAAGCAACCCTGCAGATTGTGTCATCTATGATGCTTTCTTGCCTTGGGCCCTTGATGTTGCGAAGAAGTTTGGGCTTCTGGGTGCTTGTTTCTTCACTCAATCATGTTCAACAAACAACATATACTTCCATGTTTATCAGAAGTTGTTGGAGTTACCTCTCTCAAAGCCAGAATATTCTCTTCCAGGATTGCCAACACTAGCACCTGGGGAGTTACCATCTTTCTTGAATAAATATGGATCCTATCCAGAATACTTTGATGTAGTTGTGAATCAATTTTGCAACATTGATAAAGCAGATTGGGTTCTTGCTAACACATTTTATGAGCTTGAGCCAGGGGTAAGTGACTTATGTGGCTGAATATTATGTTCATTAGTTTGATTTGTTCTTATTTAACTCTGCTTATGGTCGCAATTCAGGTAAAGGAGGAGGGTTGTGTTAAGTTGAAACCTCTACATGGATTACTCAACGATATTGTGCTAGTCTTTGACCGTTGTGTGATCCATGCAGTGGGATAAGACTTAGATGTTGACGTTGTTGTTTTTGCTGTGGTTAGATTTGTTCTTGTTCATTGGAAGGAATTAGACATTAGTATTAATGATTTAAATTTGAAATGAAATTCGATGTAGGTTGTGGATTGGCTGGAGAATATTTGGCCATTAAAGCCAATAGGACCATCCATGCCTTCTATGTTCTTGGACAAAAGACTTCAAGATGACAAGGACTATGGTGCCAGCATGTTTAATACAAACTCAGAAGCTTGCATCAAATGGCTTGATGATAAACCAAAAGGGTCAGTTGTGTATGTCTCTTTTGGCAGCATGGCTGGGCTTAGTGAGGAGCAAACGGAGGAACTAGCTTGGGGTTTGAGAGAAAGTGGGAGTTATTTCATATGGGTGGTTAGAGATTCTGAGAAACGGAAGCTTCCAAAGGAATTTGTAGACTCATCAGAGAAAGGTTTAATGGTCACATGGTGTCCTCAACTACTAGTCTTAACACATGAAGCTTTGGGGTGTTTTCTTACACACTGTGGTTGGAACTCCACATTGGAAGCTGTGAGCTTAGGAGTTCCATTGATTGCAATGCCACTGTGGACAGACCAAATCACAAATGCAAAGCTTATTACCAATGTGTGGAAGATAGGAGTCAAAGCTGTTGCTGATGAGAAAGAGATAGTTAGAAGAGAAACAATTAAACATTGCATAAAGGAAATTATGGAGACTGAAAACGGAAAAGAAATAAAGAACAATGCCATCAAATGGAAGAATCTGGCCAAGATTTATGTTGATGAGGGAGGAAGTTCTGATAAAAATATTGCAGAATTTGTGGCTGCATTGGCTCATAGCTGTGCTGCATTAAATTAATGGTGGAGAAAGTTCTAATAAAAGTAGCGTGAAGCGGCCAAATTATGCTATGATAATTCGGCTAGGCGTACGCATTGTCAGCTTCTTCAAGATGTAACAATAAAACAAGGTTGTCCATTTCAATTGTTGTGAGAATCTGAATTAGTGTGTTTCAATTGTTTTATTTAACATTTATTTCCCTTGTTTGTTGTGTAAGCTGAGTTTGCTTCATCATAATAGGAACTTATGATTCTCTTTTGTATTCTCTCTTACTGAAATAGAAATGGACCCATAGTCCAATGCTTTGCACATGTCTATATAAGACATCTCTCATCCGCAAATAGATTCCGATAAATCAATACCTATAATTTGATGGATCACCAAAGTGCACAGGACTAGGCATGTGTTAGGGAAATTACAATATCATTTGATACAGAATCACAAAATCACAATTTAGTAAATACCAGTTGACTTAACTGTTTCACCAGGCTCAGTTGCGTAATTAAAAAGGAAAGAAAAGTTGGGACAACATTGACAAATAAATACTTCCACAAAAACATGAGTTCACTTTTAATGAGCCTTTAGTCAAACATCATGGTCTGTTTCACTTGTTTGTGTTCCACCCTCATTCCACTAATTTATACGAGGATATGAGATTTACTTCTTCTTCATTGAGAACAAGGTGGCAAGTATTTAGGAGGTGGAACAATGCTAGTTTGTGGGGTACCTCCATCTCTCACAATGAGCACAGTATCCATACCCCAACTGGTGTGCCTTTCAAGATGACAATGCATATACCAGACCCCTGCAAAAGCAAATTGATGGTGTTATTTGATCTATTAATTTTTTAAAGTAAATCCTATTTTCACTTCCCACACACACATATACACATTTACCTGGATTGTTTGCAACAAATCTCATGGCAATCCATCCATTCTTAGGAAGACCAATGGTATTAACTTCTGGTGGATCAATTAAATTGTAGGATTTTGGGTCTGTCACATTGTTAAAATTTCCTGTGCCAACACCCACCGCAAAGAAGCTAAAACCATGAAGGTGCATTGCATGATTCTCTGCAGTAAGAAGACTAGTTCCTTGCCACACAAGTTCAACAACATCGTTGTAGTCAAACATTAGCACCCTGGTTCCTGTGCTTGGGAATAAAGCATTTCCTCCCACATCTCCTGTGAAGTTGTAAAAGAAAGGTGGTTCATCCGGAAAGTCTTCAGTGAAAACTCCTGAAATGTTCCTGCAAATACACATAATCTTAGGAAAAGTTATTACAGAAATATTATGTTGACAGTAGGAATATTCTTCAAAAGTAAGAAGTAAATGACCTAACATTCACTTATATATATATATATCTTGTCAATGCATAAGCCCCATTATGCTTATCTTTCTCTTTCTTTTTCTTCTTCTTTTGTTTTCCCTCCAAGCCTCTGTTTGACTTATACAAGGATCCAATTGCAAGATATTCAGTCCCACATTAGAAATGTGATATTTTAGTGTGGAGTTTATAAGGCATTCGACCTCCAATTAGTCTACTACAATGGCTAGCTTCTGTGGTGTAGTTCTTTCAAAGTTCTTGTCACACAAAAATCATTTCACTATATCGAAAAATTCAATTATGTTTTGACTCTTAAATCTTTAATCCACCAGAGACTAGTGAAACTTTCCTCAATATGTGGCTCATTTGTAAATTCTGTACCAATAATGTTACATCCTTTATAGATGCCTATCTATAGCCTGGCATGACATGATTATAAGCCATTGTATCCAAGGAAAAGTAGGGAAGAAAATAATAAAAAAGGGATAAAAATCGGTTAACATATAATATTGTACTTACCACTATTTAGCTAAATATATTATGCTTTCTAAGCATACATACTTCATTTTGGTTTTGTCCTGTAATATTCTTTGGAGACGTTTGGAAGGATTTTGATGGAATTTGTTTAGGTTATGAAAATAAATTATTACTTTCTTATAAACTCTTTTGGTATAATTTTAATAATCTTCACTATCCAGCTTACAAACAAGCTTTCGCGTGATCAGTTTTTATTCATAAGTGTTTATCCGAGTTGTTTACCCAAACATGACCTTAAAAAATGAAATGGGAGATTGTAAGTGAAAGTATATACCAGTAGTATGCTCTAAGTATATCAATCTGTGGAATCTGAAAACTTATGTTGTTTAAACTTGAAGCCAGTCTCGTTCCATTAGGTCCTAAACAACTTCCATTTGGATTCTGGCAAGGTAATTCATTCATGGATACTGTCATATAAATTTTTCTAGTCACATTTGTTGGCACATTGTTAGGGTGATTTTGGCTTGCCAAACCCCTCAAGCTCTTAGTAAAATTAAATACTGTTGCTGAGTCATTCACTGCAGGAAGCATAGGCATGGGAATGGATAAGGATGGTGTGTAATTCCCACTGTACTGTAGAATAGCTGTTGTGGTAGAATTGTCATACATGGCAATGCCATCATAAAAAGGCCTAGCAGCAATGTAATAGAGACCTTTTGGTTGGTTTGCTGTGATCAATACATCCATTGTCTGTCCAGGGGTGATTATGATGAAATTGGTGTTTAAGGGCTTTGTGTAAGAAGCATCAATGCCTACAACTGAGAGGTTGTGATTAGCAACCCCAAAGAAATGTTCTTCGTTCATTGCAGCATTTATTATACGAAAAAGATACGTCTTTCCATAATCAACTAGAACGCGATATGTTGTTTCTGCAAAACAAAACAATATTAAGGATTAAAGTCATGAAACATATAAAACCAATTACAACAATTACTTACAACTTTACAATGTATTAATTAATTAAAAAAGCACATATAAGAAAAGACCTAACAATCTAACAGTTAATAAACATTTAACCATCATTAATGATTAGAAATACAACAATAACAAAACTTTACGCTGATCAATTTTAGAAATTAATAGTACAAATCATTTATGTCTCCACTAAGATGGGCTTGTGCATTCTCTTTGCCCAATGGACCGTTCCAATAGGAGGTATTTTAGAGATATAATATTAAAGAAGAAAAACATTATTTCTTTAACTAAGTTTTTGAAATAGATTTTCACACATTAATGTACCTCTTGAGCAATTATACAAGTCACCAGGTTGGCCATTGATGGTGTAAGCATCTGATGCATTGGGCTCGCCACCATTTACGAGGGCTGAATTTATAATTTGCATCACATCTCCCTTATACCATTCTCCTAAAAGAACATCAAAGTCAATTTTTAAGAGGTTGTCTATGATTGTATATACATGAGGATTTGAATGGAATTTTCAATAGACAATGTTACCAACCAATGATAAGCGTTTCTTGTTGATAAGGTTCAGGGAAAGGATATGAAGTTCCATTGGCAGGTAAAATGACAATGGCACCATGGACAGTGGCACGAGTCCAACTACTATGGGCATGCCACCAAAGAGTTCCTTCTTCCACTGTAAAGGCCACCTTTTGTGTGAAACTTGTTCCTGGTGGAATAGGGCATTGTGTTATGTTCTCAGGTCCATCTGACCAAGGATCCCTTGGTTCTCTTACCCCATGCCTGTAGAGGTGTTTCAAATTTCAGCTTCTTCTCTAGGGAGTAAATTTTTGGTACTTGTTAATCCCTTAATAGTTTGTTTTTCATTCGGTAACCTTTTATTTTTTTTTTAAATTAATCAGGAAAAATATGATCATAAAAAGGTAGGTGTTATTATTCTAAAGAAAGAAATGTGAAATATAGGAGGATTTGGAAAGGAAAAAAAAAAAATCTAATAAAGGCCTATAATTTTGATTTCATTGTCTGATTGTATTATGATGGAATGAAAAAAGAAGTCTTATTTTATTGTTTAAATAATAAACATATCAGAATGAATTATAATTTTTGTTGATTATTATATTATAATTTTAGTAAAGGATTATTACAAAATTAAAAACAATTATATATATATATATATATATATATATATATATATATATATATAGTCATCTTACATTTTTTATTGAAAATCCTCAATCATAAAAATTTTAAAAAGCAAATATACTTTTTGAAATAAAATACATATCTATTAAAAATAAATTCCCAAAAATTCAGCTTAACAAACCCATTTTTTTAAAAGAAAAGTAAAAGTCCTTCAAAACTTGAAGTATAAGAAAAATATTTTTTTATAATCAAATGAATAAAATTAATATATATATATATATATATATATATATATATATATTAACAATAAAATTTGAATACTTATATTACCTAATCCACTGATGGTTTAAAAGTTTTTATCAAGTAAATAAATTTCATACAAAAATAAAATTAATAAATATTTTATCATATTATTTTATTTTAATGAGTATTATGTTTTTAAAATACAAATAATAAGTATTGAATTTTGAATAGTATATGTATAAATATCTAAATTGTGTGAAATTATATTATATATATATATTTTGGTGTGTGGACATCTTTTAATTTTTTTAATATTTTATATTTATATTAAATAAATAAAGAGACATCACAATTAGAAAAAAACAATAATGATTAAGTAAAAGAGTGCAGTAATAGAAAAAACAAGAAAGAAGATAAGAGTGGAGCAACAATGTGAAATTTAAATATAATATAAATACAATGAAAAATGATAAAAGTAAAATAATAATTTTCTTAAAGTTTATATTTTTTATTTCATTCAATTCCTTCTAAATTAGAGAGAAAAAATTGAGTATAAGTAAGAGAATAAGATATCATTCCCTCTATTCAATTATTTTTCTATAATCTAAACATTGCCTAAGAAAGGTTTACATGATAAGTTATTATATAACAGTTAAAATATATTTTTAGTTCATATAATTAATATTTATGAATTAGTATAAAATATAAATAAAATAAAAGTTAAACATAAATATATGAGCTATAAAATAGAGTTAAAACACAGACTTATCAATTTGACAATTAGTATATTTTATTTTTAAAATATATGTTTAAATTTTTATATGAATATTTTGTAATGTTTTAAATTTTATCTATTATAACACTGTTAAAAAAAATACTAAAAAGTAAATTTGACTAATGATATTATAATAGTAAAATCTAAAATGGAATAAAATATTTTAGATAAGGAAATAAGCTTTTTAGGTATAATATTAATCTAATTTATAAATAAATGTTATGATATATTTTTTAACCTTGTATTAGATTAAGAGTACCTACATGGAATAAGAAAAGAAAAGAAGGATATTGAATGTTAATCGATCTAAGAACAGGACAAAGTAATTTGTCCTACAATTATTGCCTGATGTTGACTTTTGCAAAAACATGAACTAAGGAGAAAGTTAAATAAGAAAAAGAGAGTTTGAAAGGAAAAAGGAGAGGGAAGAGACCAGTGAATAGTGACCCCATATCTTCCTTGGTTATGAACAGTAACAAAAGCGGTATCACGCTTTTGAACATGAATGGTTGGCCCTGGAAAGCTATCGTTCACCGTCAATATGCTTTTTGTGCTGCACAACTTTGTGAAGTTTTTCTCCTTCAGCTGCAACAAACCATTCACAATGAAAGATATCAAATTTATCATTTCTTCCACTTTGCTGATTCGACGAGTACATTGGAATTTGAACAGTAACAACATCGTTAGTCCTTATTGCCATTAGTACATCACAGATTGTAATGTTATGTCCTGTATAAGAAAACTCAAACAAGAAAAATATTCTTAATCAAGTTAAAAAATTATATATACTTATATAAGTATATTCTCCCCATTCTATGCTGGGATTGTGGAAATGATGGTAATTAAGCTCAATAAAAAAAGGTACTTAATGTGATCAGCATTTGAAGACATACAACGAAATCATAATAATGAACGTTGCCTTGGACCTTGCAGACAACCAGAAACCCCAAAATGAGTAGTAGGACACTCAGATTATGTTGCTGTTCCATCATATTATTGGCACTAACTTGAAGAATTTAGGGCGCTTTTACCCGTTTGGAATTCATGTGGCACAATTAGAGTTGATATATAGGATAAGTTGATGAACCTTGGTGATTCCCAAACGAAGCTTCACTTACTTTAGTACAATAAATTATACATATTGTTTCGGTACCTCTTTACTGTCATTTGAAAATGATGTCCTAATTGATAACATAGCTTACCTGCCTATGGTAGGGTGATTTATGTTTCTTCAATTAGACACAAATGAAGCTTATAAGAGAATGTAAACTGACTTAAAAAGCACGCTCACCGTTGTGCGTGAAATGTGATTTTTATTAAATTAACCAATGAATAAAAAATATATTATATTAAGTTTGACATATATAAATGAAATATTAAATGATTTTTTATTAAAATTTTAAAAAAATTAGATATCATCAAAATTTAATGCATAATCAGTATAAATATAATTATCAACTAATAAAACTCAAGGAAATATAATTCTTAGTAACATGCAAAACAAAATAATTAACTAAGAATATTTAGTTAAAATAATTTTTAACTAAAAGGTTTAGTATACCTTTTTTAAGAATTTTTTAATAATTTTTTTATCAAGTAAATTTATTTGAGAGCTAACGTTAAATAATCTTGAATTATATTGACTTATTGTTTTAAATTCTTCTAGTCATAAGTTCAATCAATCATATTTAATTTTCTTAAGGATTGCTATTTTTTTATATTCATATTTCTCCTTCAAATTATTCTAAGAATTTAATAAATTCATAATAGATAATTAATTTCCAATTCTCCTTCAAATTATTATAAAGATTTAATAAATTCTTAACAGATAATTAAATTTTCATTTCTTCGAATAAATGATTTCGAAGAAAAATGATCACTTTTAAGCGATCATATAAAAATGCTTAATTTCCTACTTTGATAATATTTCCACGATCCAGATATAGTTCTAAGATAAATTTTAATATAAGTATCCATCATAAATAATTTTTTTTTTAAATATAAGACCAAAGGCTTTATGATATTTAATAATGTAAAGAAATTTAAAAGTAATAAGAATTCTAAAATTAGATAAACACTTAAAAATTTTAAATAATAAATTCATATGTTATATTATATATTATGCAAAAATGATTATTAAATTATTTTTAAGTGAAAAAATTATTTAAATAAAAAATAATTTTAATAAAAAAATATGAAAAATTTGTTACAAATTTAATTATGCTAATAACGTGTTATAAAATAATACTAGTAAAAAATTTAAAAAAAGTAAAAAAAAATAAGAGCAAGAAATGACTACAAATAGTCATATTATTCATTCATATATAAAATATTTATACAGGTGAATAAAATTTAATAAAAAATTATGTATACCTTTTATTTAAAGGAAACTAATAATGTAAGTCTCAGTCATGTCTAAATCACAATATGTTATTCACCTAAAAATTAATAATTTTAGTCATGATGAATGAATTCTATCCTCTATTTATACTAATCCTAAAAAATGATTTAGATTTGAGTGTTGAAAAGAGCTGATTAAGTTTAACTCTTTTGTCAATATACCTTGAAACTTATTTGGTGATTTTAATACTATCCTTTATGGTAAATAAAAAATAGGGGGCAAACTCCCTAATTACACTCAAATCAATAAGTTTGCAAATTGTTTAGATAAATGTGGTTTACATGACTTAAGCTTTAAGAGCTTTCCTTTTACCTGGATGGAAGGAGAACTAAAAGAAAGGCTAGACAGGGTAGTGGTTAATGAGATCTGGCACCTCTCCTTTCATAATAGCTCAGTCACCCAAATTCATGTACTTAAATCTGATCATGTTGGCCTATGGCTTAGAATTAGGGATAGAAACACTACTTATACTTATGCCAAAACTTTTAAGTTTCTTACTCCCTGTCTTACCCACCTTGATTTTCCTAATCAAAATAAACTTTTTTGGATCCCCTCTTCCTCTTGCACAGATAATGTGGAAAGGTTCACTAATAATATATCAGATTGGAATAGAGTGTTTTTGGTAATATTTTTAGCAAGAAAAAAGCCTTACTCAGTAGAATTCAGGGAATATCTTATAAATTAGCTTATCATGATAATCCCTTCCTTAGTAATTTAATGAAATTCACCAGGAATACCAACAAGTGTTAGATCATGAGAAATTCTATTAGTACCATCACTATAGATCTAAATAGTTTAATCTAAGATATAGAAATACTAAGTTTTTCAATAGAGCTATTGTTTGTCGTTGGCAAAAGAATAATATTGAGACTTTAAAAGATGATTATGGTATATGGGAATACAACCCTTAGAAATTGAGGCTCATGGCTCTTAACTTTTTTAAAACTTTATATCATGACCCTGAGCCTGATCAATTTCATCTCTAAACTGATCATACCTTTCCTTCCCTTAGGGATGATGATAGAATTAGGCTTTGTACTACTATTTCCATAGAAGAAATCTGGGCATCCTTATTTAGTATAGACAATACCAAATCATTTGGGTTAGATGGGCTCCATGCTCTGTTCTTTGAGAATTAATGGAACATTTTGGCTTCTTTTTCACTTAATTTTGTTCTTGATGTCCACAATCTTGATAAAATTGCCTTTGTTAACAATACTAGGAACACCTTAATCCCTATGTTTTTTGTATGATACTCTAACTTTTAATTGGTTTATTTATTTTTTATTTTTTTATGTAGAATAGACTTATGATGTCTAAGATAGAGTTATAAGACTAGAGATTGCCTGATTGGAAGATGAGTGTAGAAGTCTTTCCTTGAATTGTTTGTATTTGTAGAAATTGTAGAATATGCATGTTGTGAAGTTATAAGGGAATGTGTTCTAAAATAATTTTAGGATTGTAATATGTATGTTTGATTTATTTATCAATATATTTTAGGACTGTAACTTGATCATTTTTATTGTTTAAGCTATCTACGTCACTAGCTTGTTGTAGGCTGCTAACGTTTAATTAAATAAAGATATTACTATTTTTTTTATAAAACACATTTCCTTGGTGTGATTGGTGCAAAGAAAAATATAGGGAAAAGGATGGATTTGATGATTGGCATGAGACTATAATTTGACCTTATTCTAATAATTATTATAATTCATTCATTAGATGGACAAACCGACTGAGTTTTACTATTCCCACAAAAGCTTTATACTTTCAATCTTGCTTTGCATTAGTTTAAGTAAGAAAATGAGTTGCATGGTTTATGAAATGGGGAAGCCAAGGTTCTTTTGTATCTTTTGAAGCGTTAACACTCTAATCGACATGAAAAAATAATTCATCATGGTGCCCTACTCATGACAAGACTTCTCCATCAACCACTCGAACTTCCACCTTCACACCAACTGTAGTGCAGACCTTCTAGGTTGGCAGACAGGAATAGTTCATCATGGTGTCCAACCCTAGGTATGTGCCTCCTTTCCCTCTAGTACAGTGAGTTTCACATTTTACATCGTCGACTACATATGACACATTGTCCCTCTCTACACAGCGCACATGCTAGAGATCCATTACTATTACATCTTCCTATGGGCAATAGTCACATACCCAAATACAATTGAGATCACTTCTAAGTTTGAAACGGGATGGATCGACTTAGTAAGTTATTTATAAAATATGGTGCAGAACTTTATTTGATGTAAATGTTATCATAATTGTATTATTTTATTATGTGTTCAGTTAGTATCTATTACAGAAGGGTATCCACCAAGTATCATATATTATTAAAAAGATGTATAATGTGCCATATACCAATTTTGCTAAGGGGCATAAGGATACAAAGGTTGAGTGATTCAAAGATTGGAAGGTAATAGAAGTTAATTAATTAATTTTAAGTCTGATTAGATCTCTATTTCTTTTACTCATATTAATTATTTCTATTCATGTAGAACTTCTCTATTCCTCCCTAGAATGAGAAGATAATTTTCGACGTATAGGGAGGAATGAGAAGATGATTTTTGACATATAAAAAAGTCACATTATAAAGCGATTAAGACAAATGTACATTGAAGCTCATCAGGACTCGTTATCTACAGATTGAATAACACCCCATTTCATTCATGCCTTGTAGGAGTATTGATGTATGGATAAGTTTCAAAATTTATCCATAAAAAACAAGACATACAATAAAGGGAGATCATTACGTGCTGGTAGCTCTACGACTTTAGTTGGTACTAAGGCTAACTTGATAAATAAATATTATTTATTCGCAAAAGGATTAACATGATCATGATAAATAAATAATTATCATAAATAATTTTTTCATTTAGAATAAAGAAACCGTAAACAAAACTTTAAAAGAAACTTATCATTTAGCATGACTAATAATTGCGAGACGCTAAGAACCCACATAATTAATATATTCATTGACATCAATGTCCTAAATATACGAATCCTTTCACTTAATAATCTCAACTTAAGTAACATTATGTTGACTTAATAAATAGTTGATAAAAAATAATTTTTTATTAATAATAAATAAAATAGACGATATTTAAACTGAATATTATACTAATACAATATTATATTTTTAAGTCATTTATTATATTTTAATTAATTGTATAGTTAATTTTATCAAATTTAATTATTTAATATATAAATTTTTTAACTACAAACAATAAATTTTTAACTAACCTTTTAATTATAAATAATAAATTTGTGGTTGATTTCATGGAACAAAATCTTAATAAAACTTGAAATTCGTCTAATCTAAACAAATATACCCCAATGAACCACCTAAGCTTTTTCCATGACCCCTGCCTCCAAAATTGCAAACAATCCCCAAAGGTAATAATTGTCTGACATCCACAAACTATATTCAGGAATTAGAATTCTGACATCCGACCAAACCAACCTTTTTCTTTTTATGTCTTTTCTGCAGATTATCTTTTCTTTTTTCTTTTTGGTGCCAACTTAAAACTTTGACGGCGCCTTTTGGATTACGTAAGTACCATACATAGATTTGCTTTTTGGTTG